CAGGACGGAACCCTGCGGCACTCCGCTCGTCACTTCTTTCCAGGATGAAGAGGAAGCATTGGTGAGCACCAATGCTCAAATTAACATCATTGTAGACCTTATTATCACCTAAAGATGCATAGATATTTAATTATATTCTCCTAGAAAATCACATAGTAAAATGAAACACCACAAAGCTAGAAAAATACACATATCACTGTTGCCTTTCCAAAAAAAAGTATCTGCATTTGAAGGCTAGCAGAAAAAAAATGTTTTGTTCTTGCTACTAGCATCATCTTTGGTTGGTTAACAAGATCTTAGACATCAGTTATGGAAATTCTTGTAAACATATCAGTGTTCTTTATATGACTTACTACTTTGTACATGAAACTGCTTGCCAAAATTATGTTTAAATTAAATGCAGTTTCTAAAATAGTCACTGGTACATTCTGTGTGAACCTACAGTTTAAAACATTTAGAAATGAAACATGAATAACACACCATGCAAACCAGTGGTTCTCAACCTGTGGGTCCCCAAATGTTTTGGCCTTCAACTCCCAGAAATCCTAGCAAAAGGTAAACTGGCTGGGATTTCTGGGAGTTGTAGGCCAAAACACCTAGGGACCTACAGGTTGAGAACTACTGATGTAAACATTTCAAATATATTTCTTTCTGTCCCACCTCTTCCCCAGTTTTGATCTGAATAGAGTTCTAACGTTTGTACTGCTTATTGCTCGTTATTTATTTTAAACTAATCTAACTTTATGTACAGGCAGTCCCCAAATTACAAATAAGATGGGTTCTATAGGTTTGTTCTTACATTAAATTTGTTTGTAAGTCAGAATAGGTACATTTTATAAGTTTAACTCCAGTCTATATATATGCATGCATGCTTTGGATAGCATAGGGAAGGGTTTTGCTGTCTGTACCTCTGTTCAAAATATTTCACCGAACTTCCTGTATTTGTGATAATTGGATTTTGAAAAATGTGGCTTGTTGTGGAAACAAGGACTGGTAAGAAAGCTTCGGTGAAGACATCTTTTCCCCATGGTAACTCTTTCATGGTAACCATTTCCCTTCCTAGGGTTAGATTTCCCTCACTTCCTGTTCTTCTGTCCTCTCACCACTGTTCTTAATTATGAGTCGTTTGTAAGCTGGATTTTTATAATGCAGGGATTGCCTGTACATGCAAACCCTTTATTGATACCACAAACAACTTTGCACTAGCCAAACCCATTTATGAGTTGTTTGCATGTCGGATGTTTGTAACTCAGGGACTGCCTGTGTTGCTTTAATTAAACTAATTTTTGTGTAAGCCACTAAACATACATCACAGAATTCAGATGAGTAAGTTCCAAATTCTATACTAATCATCTATTTTAATACTGGGAGGATTTCAAATAAGCTTCAACCCCCTCTGTTCTCTCCATTATGGTGGATAGTTTGGGACTTCTTTTCTATGGATAAACCAAACTATTCCTTTAACAACTTGATCCATTCTTTGGAGAATTAAAAAGAAGTACTGACCCCCTCTACTCTCTCCAATGGCCTTTTGCAATGCTGGGCGGTTAAATGGCAACAGCAGTGGCCACAGACAGCTGGCCCAGAGCAGTGCTGGTGCTTTCATTTTTCCATGGGATGGATAAGAGTAACCTTATGTGTAACTTTATGATGCGCTCCAAAGTTTTACTGTCAACTTATCTACATGTCATATTTAAAAGCATAATTTTGGCCCCCAAACTCTGATCTTGACTTATAAATAAGGTCAACTTAAACATAAGAATATATGGTAGGAATGCTCCAGCTATGGACATGGTCAATTCTATGCCCTATTCATGCCGTTACATGTACACAGCTCTCTCCTTACATGTGGGAGTCTGGTAGCAGGCAACTCTACATTTAGGTTAAGTTTGAATGTATATTGCTAGTTTGTTACCTTTATTTGCTGTCTCCTGAGCATTGCAAGCTCCCTCATGTCTCTGAAAGGTTGCAGCAAGTACTGATAGAGTTCTGTGGTGGCTTCAGCAAGACTACTATATGCTTCATCTTCCAATTGATACAATTCAAGCAGTTCTACCATGCTTTCTGTATTCTTGTGCTTTTCAAGGAGCTGTATAAAATGAAGGAAAATAACATAAATTAATAAAACTTCTCTGTTATTAACAAAGACATATGAAGTGATGAATATCTGCAGTTGGTAACAGTCACTCCCATAACCTGATGAATAGTACTGACGTCATTTAATTTTACTCTCTATTTTGATTTAAATTATGAAACTTTAAAAAACCCCAATAAAACATTTAATCCTCAACCTTCTATATAGATATGAAATGCAAGGTGTAAATGTATTACTGAAAGTCTTACTTGTAAAATTGATCTCTTGTCATCTAGAAAAGGTGCATTTTTCTATATTATGCCCCATTTTAATTATTGCTTTAAAATAAGAAAGAAAAGTGCTTCAGAACTCTTTCAAACCTGATAAAAAATATCTAATATCATCTGTTCTATGCTCCTTGCTTGCCTGCTTTTCTGCCTAGCAAGCAAAAACCTTATTTCAAAAGGTTTATAGAAATTGACTAAAGCAGGCTTGTAATAGTATGCAGTCCTATTGATTTTCCTCTTGTTTTTAATGGATTCTGAGCAATTTTAATTCTACACATTGTGCAAGTATTGAAGAAGAAAGAGCTAAAGCTGTTTTAAATATTTCTGACTGAAATACTGTTGGTTACACATCCATGCAAATAACAATCTGGACTTTGTGGGGCAGTCTGTTGACAAAATCATTTTGCCCACAGCACTTTTTACTGGCTCCTAAAACCGTGCCTAGGAGAAGCAGGTAACTTGGAGACACAGCACTCTTCTCTCTCTCCTTTTCTCATTGAGTACTGTATCAATGGCTTAAAAAAAATTTGTAGCATTTTTCTTCTATTCAAGAGCACAGATTTGTTAATAATATCTAAAGAAGCAACTATATTTATATACAGAGTGGTTACATGAAACAAGTAAAGAAAAAGCAATAAATAGCAGTGTCTATTCACAAGACGTAGCTGCCCATGAAAAATGGAATGAGTATATGTCTTAACAAAGACTCATATCTACAAACATGTACAAATAAATTGACACAGTACAGCTACGTGGGGTTGCCTTTGAAGACTGTTTGAAAACTTCAACTAGTCCAACGGGCGGCAGCCAGATTGCTCACTGGAGCATCATACAGGGAGTATACCACCCCCCTGTTACGTCAACTCCACTGGCTGCCAGTCCATTTCCGAGCACAATTCAAAGTGCTGGTCTTGGCCTATAAAGCCCTATACGACTCTGGCCCAGCGTACTTATCCGAACGTATCTCCCTCTACTTTCCGCCTCATAGTCTAAGATCCACTGGGGAGGCCTTGCTCTCGGTCCCACCAGCTTCGCAAACACAGCTGGTGGGGACGAGGGACAGGGCCTTCTCAGTGGTGACTCCCCAGCTGTGGAATTTGCTCCCCAGCAAAATTAGATCGGCGTCCTCTCTCCTTTCTTTCAGGAAAAAAACTGAAGATGTGGTTGTGGAACCAGGCTTTTGGCTAGTGGACATAACAGCACCTGAACATGGAATTGGACCATAGGACTGTTATGATGAAAATGGCTTTACGATTGTATAACTAATGTTTGTTTTAGTCTATTGTATTGTATGATTTTATTTTGCTATTATAATTGTAATTACTGTGACATTGAATTGTGCCATTGTTAGCTCCTCTGAGTCCCCCTGCGGGGGTGAGAAGAGTGGGGTAGAAATATTGTAAATAAATAATAAATAAATAAGGTGCACCAAGCATCACAGAATACTGAATGGGTGATATAGGCTGTGCGACTGAGCCTCTCTTTCCCAGTAATAGCCTGACACACTGCACTGAATGTAGGAAATGTGGCAAGAAGAAGGTAGAGAAGAGGGCTCTGCTGAATCACAGTCTTCGATTTTTTAAAATTTTCTTATCTAAAATAATAATAAAATTGAAAGCTATGTTACCATTCAATGGCTTTATGGAAACATGGAACATTTCTAAATGTGAGCTATTTAAATATCAAGTATATTCAAAGCCTTGCTCAAACAGCAGACAACTTCTGTGTTCATCTGTGCTTTTCTTATCTTTCAATAGAAAAATCCAAGCAGTGCTGAATAAAGCAAATCAAGTGTTAAGATCTTGTACAGGAAACACATGGTTGATCTGTTTAACTGTCTATATCAAAGAAAACAAACTCTTAACTTCATATAGTTCAAAAATGTATACTATTTTATCTTCCTATCCAACAAATGCAGTTATGTGGAAAATCTTGGAGACTATAATTTCAGGAAAACTAACTGTTTGAGAAAGCATAGATACTAGCAGAGGACACCAACAGAATGCCAGCTTATGTCCATTGCAACAGAAACAAGAGGTACTCTAAAGACTAACACATGTATTAATCAAATCAGCTTTTGTGGATCACAATCCATTTCTCTAGAAACACAGAGTATTATCCAGAATATGAGATATACAAAATTGTATATACACAAAATATAAATCTGGGAATGGGATTATAGAGAATGAGATCAGAGGGAAAGCAAATGCAGTAAGCACAGAAAGTGACAATTATATTAGCAGCAGCACTGGCTATACAGGCAGTCTCCAAGTTAGGAACAAGATAAGTTCTACAGATTTGTTCTTAAGTTGAATTTGTTTGTAAGTCAGAACCGGTACATTTTATAAGGGTATCTCCAGTCAAATTTATCTAAGTTTGGATAGTATAGGGAGTTTACGAGTCCTGTGGAGTTTGTTTTGCTGTCAGAAGATTTCACTGCACTTTCTGTCTCTGTGATAACTGATTTGAAGAAATTGGCTTGTTGTCGAAATGAAGGATTGGTGAGAAAGCTTCAGTGGAGACACCTTTTCCCCATGGTTATTCTTTCTGGAGTGAACTTCCCTTCCTAGGATTAGATTTCTCTCACTTCCTGTTGTCTAACCCCCGTTCTTAACTATGAGTCATTTGTAAGTTGGATGTTTATAATGCAGAGATTGCCTGTACATGCAAGCCCTTGATATCGCAAACATCTTTGCACTAGCCAAACCAATGTAACATATATGAACCAACAGTGCCACAGCACTGTACAAATAGCCATCAGCAAAGCTTTCTTTGCTTGCCTTCCATAAGCTCTAGACTAGACATTAGTATAGCACAATATATGTGGATAACTTCTAAATGCACATTTGATGTGTTTCATATATGTTCTGTGATTGGTATTTGACAGAAGATTGTACCCACCTATCTATGTTATGTGCCCTACTGTAGATAAATAATTCTTTGAGACTGGGAAACTATCTGTATGCAAATAAAGATCTGCCACCAAAAGTGCTTGAGATGGCAGTTTAGGACTTAGC